AAAGTCAAAGCAAAGTCAAAAACAATTAGAAGTGAAAGTTAATAGAAGATGACTTTTCTTTTTGAGACATACACGATTATCAATACTCTCATATTTCCAATGTCAAAACTGTTGATAATTGTGAGCTATACCACAATATTCTACCAAAATTTCCAAATCTCACTAGATTTTCTGTGAATCCATTGACCAATTCTTCTTAAGTGTATCATCAAATTCTGACAGAGGGTCCTGTTGATTCCAAAGTAAAATTAAATCTTGAAAGGCTGACAGCAGCCAAGAAAGGATTCTCCTACATGATGCAACAGGGTATTGATAGGCCGTCAAAAAGTCCTTGGGCAGGCTCACTCCATAGGGTTAGAAAAAGTAATGGTGATTGGAGACCTTGCGGTGACTATAGACTATTAAATGCAAAGACTGTTTCAGATGCCATCCGATTCCTAATATTAAAAATTTCACCTACTATCTATCCGATAAAAGAGTGTTTCCGAAGATTGACTTAGTTAGTGCACTCCATAAAATTCCTGTGGCTCCAGAAGATATAGAGAAAACCGCTGTTGTAACTCCTTTTGGACTTTTCGAATATATTGAAATGCCTTTTGGATTGAGGAATGCAGCTCAAACATGTCAACGTTTTGTACATCAAGTGACACAGGATCTTGATTTTTGTTTTCCGTACATTGATGATTTCTTAATATGATCTAAAAATGAAGAAGAGCACAAGAATCACTTGAAAGCATTATTTAGCCGCTTAGAAGAATATGGAGTCGTAATCAATCCTGATAAATGTGAATTTGGTAAAAATGGCATTGACTCTCTTGGATTTGTCATCTCTGCAAAGAAAGTTGAATCAATATTGAAATATGATAAACCAAAAAGTCTGGCTTCTTTAAGACGGTTTCTAGGTATGGTGAGCTTTTTTAGAATGACAATACCAGAAGCTGCAGAGAGTCAGGCACCATAAAATGATTTCCAAAAGGGGAAACTTCTAGCAATATATGAGGCAGTTAAACATTTTCGATATATTTTAGAAGGAAGCGGTTTTGTTATTTATACAGATCATAAGCCAATACCATCTACCTTCAAAAAGAAATCCGAGAATTGTAGTCCTCGGCAAACCAGATATTTGGATTTTATTAGTCAGTTTACCACTGAGATCAAACATGTATCTGGTAAAGACAATACTGTTGCTGATGCTTTATCCAGAGTGAGTACCATCGATTTTATGAAGAATATTGACTTTCCAGAATGGAAGTCAAATCGAAATAAAAATGAGGAGCTGCAGAAATCACTCACTGAATCTGAAGACACATCTCTAAAACTCAAGGAATGTAAACTTCCCTACGGTGAAAATTCCATTTTTTGTGAACCTTCACAAAAGCTTGTCCGACCTTATGTACAGCTTACCAGCAATCGGCTAATGGATGGATTAAGACATTTCATCCCATAATCAAGGCAGCACTGAAGTGCCATGAATCAGAAAAGTGAACGGACCTTCTTCCTACAATTTTACTGGGAATCGGTGTTTCAGTAAAGGAACAATTGCAGTGTTCAAGTGGTAAATTGGTGTATGAAACAACCCTCAGGATCACAGGAGAACTCATAATAGAAAGGGCTGTTCCTTTCATTACTTATCAACAGTTCCTTCACAATCTTAGGGAAAACATGATGAAAATGAGAGCAACGCCTGGAAGTAATCACGAAATCAAAAGCTTGGAACACTGTTCCGAACCAGAAAATTCCGCACACCTCAGCAACTTGTGATGCTTATTTGGATTATTGTTCTCATGTATGGAGCTCTGTCCCTAAGTAAACCCTGAGCTGCTGGATTCAATCTAGAAAAGATCATTTCGCCTGATAGGAGACGCGAACATCACTCGCAACCTTGAGAGACTGGAACATCGAAGAGAAATTAAGAATTTGTTTCTCTTTCGTAGATATTTTCACGGGAGGTGTTCGAGTGTATATGATGTCTGTATCTGTAGAGTAGGGAGGGTGAGTATAGACTCACAGCACTTAGGCCACAAGTGATCCACTTAGGCCACAAGGAGGAGTTATCCTCCTAGATCATCGTCCATCCTGTCCTTTCCAGGAAGATGATCAGGTCACTATAAGACATCTCCTTTATATTGGCAGATGAGGGCCAAGACTCGCCGAACACACACTTTCTTTGACAACCTTGAGGTGTCTCACGGTGGCGTCCGCGAAGGTTTTGGAAGGTGCAGCGATATTACTGTCGTTGCACGGCTTCTCCAACCTTCTTGGGGTTTCCTCCGTGGAGGTGCCCGAGTGATGGAGCTTTCCTGCAGGGGCAGCCAGTTCCTTGCCTTTATTCAAGGCGGAGATCTTGACGTCCGCCGCAGGAAGTGCCTTATTGGAGGTGATCTGTTATGTCCAGCCTCATTCCAAGCGGTATATTGGGGTAGACATTTCTGTTCATACCTAGCCATCGCCTTAGATTGAGGTGAGCACTTCTGTCCAGTTGTTTTTGTTGTTTCATCCATGTGTGTTTCCACGAGTAGCAGTGGAAGAGTTGGTCACCTCTGGCAGAGCTCCGCAACAAACACAGTAGTACCTTCATTAGGGAACCCTCCGAGAAAAGAACCGAAGATCTACTTCAATATAGTAGGGATCGGCTCAAAATAATTACAGGGTTACTAACCAGTCATTGTCCACTCAGAGGATCCCTGAATAAAATGGTGCTGTACAACGGAGACCTCAGCTGCATATTATGCAACGAATCACAGGAGGCAGGCAATATATAGACGTACAAAATTACGCCCAGAAGAATATGACGAACATCCAACACGGAACCTGTACAAACTAGTACAGGGACCGAGACTGATGGAATTGGTGCCATGAGAAGATGGGAGAATAAACGCAATAAGCCCAAGAGGCTGCAGTGTTTTCTGAAGGCTTGGACTAAATGGACCAGTCAGACAACTCCCAAGGTACCAAAAAAAACGGGGGTATTCGAGTGTATTGGCACATTTCATTCTGCCGTGAGCGGTATATATCAGAAATACACGACAGACTGTGGATACTTGTTTTGAGGTACAACTCAGTACACCTCGAATTTCACTGTTTGAAAATTCTTTCATTTGAATAACTGCTTTCATGTGAAATAAACTGGCTGAGAACAATTTCTCAAATGGATTTGATCGCCAGGGATACGAATCCAATGGGAGCGCCTCAGGGATTATTCTGTAGTGCTTGAGTCATTGCAAAATATTTAGATTTGAGCGGTACAGGTCACTGCCTGCGACGAATTCGTTTGCTGAAGGTTGGAGCCATGAAGACCTCATGTATGCCATCTACTAGACAAAAAGGTATGTCGTGGCTGAAGGACATTTGCAGGACATTATATCTTCCGAACATGTATGCTGGTAACGCCTCCTGGATATGGCATTACCATTAACTGGAATCGGAACCAACGTTGGGAGTCTATCTATGACCTGATTCTTTCAGAATTGCCAGTTTCTCTTCCGCATGGTCAAAATGTAAACCATCGTGGAATTTTCAGTTGAGCAATAAAAACAAAGTATTGTATAGTCTATCCATTCCGAATTGGAACGGCAATAAAAATAAGAGCACTACGAGGGGTGTTCATAATCAATGACCGGCAAATGGGAAATGTATATACTATTAGTGCTCTTATGTTCAAAGCATCCCTGGTACAGTCGTAAACATTTACCCAGATAGTAAGTAAACGTGCTATCAAATATAGTTGAGGAATAAAGGCTCGGCTAGCTAGACTGGCTGAATACTAATTTTTTGTCCATTTCACAATATTTCTTCATCAGTACCGTGTGTTCGTGGGGTTAGGTGAGGTAGTGAGTGGTTTTGCAAACCGATTTTTGAAAACTTTTTCTAGAGATCAATTACCTCAACACCAAAGACCAAACTGATATTTTTGCCCTCGATGCGCGTTTCGCTAACAAGGTTAGCATCTTCAGGAGAATCAAATTGATACTGAATCTAAAGACAAGGGTTAGCTGTTTATATATTTGTCAACAATAGATTAAAAAGCGGACAAATTCCAAAAAAAAAGCAGATATTGTTAATTTCATGCGAAATCATGACACGGAAATTCACGAAAAGATTCCAACGAAAAAGATATTACTGGCGACCATAAAACAACGTAATTCAAAAAAGAGTATATTGATTCGATGTGTGAAACATGTGGTCATATTCTCTTACGTTTGCCTCCATACTATTGTGTGTTCAATCCAATTGAAATGGTTTGGGCCACAATGAAAGAAAGCTTGCGGAAATGTAATCAGTCACCGAATGCTGTGGTGCTTGACAATAAAAGGCGAGTGGTGAATGAAGAAGGTAATAGTGATGTGTGGAAGAACTGTGTGGCCCACGTTATAAAAGAAGAGAACAAATAGCATGTACCAAGTTCCATAAATCCGATCGTTATTCAACCCGATGATGATTCCACCTCATCCGAATATAGCGAAGAAGAATTTTGATTTTTCTAGCAATTTTGTAGGCCTATATTATTTTGTAAATATATGTTTGACGAGAATTCAGTGTGTTTTCATTGTATTTCAGAGTTTGCGACTCGGAAATCAACTACCTTAAATTTCGAAATTTTTCATAATTACCCATGGTGGAAAAATTCAGTTGAGATAACTTTTCTAAGGGGTGATCAATTGCTATGATTGTAAGAATGAATAACTGAAAAAGACCACTGAAAAATAATATGCCAACGCCTATGTCGAGGCGGGAATTACTTCTCTGTGCTGTTCTAATTGATATTGGAAATACTATAATGATGTGGCAGTAAATAATTTCATATTTTTTATGCAAAAATTTGCATTATGACCTGACTGATATGACTATTATTTAGATAATGTTAATAGAATTGATATAATCATCTCAATCATCTTGAAATAACAGTATAAATTCCTGATTTTTCCAACGTTTGAATACAGTTTTATCTTGCTGTTCTCAAGGTGAGTTGTGAATTTTGAACACTCTTCTCGAAACTATTCGTGAAACTTGATGATTGAAATCAATTCGAAACTCAATCAACAATTGATCACGAGTCTTTCGAAGTGAATAAAACTTTTAGTGAATTATTTTTTACTTACAGGAAAAACAAAATGAAACTATTTGCACTCATCGCAGCTGTCCTGGTGACAGTCAATGCTTCTACTGACAAGGACCAATGGGTGGCTTTCAAGGTAATGATACTTCTCGTTCAAAAGTTCACTTGCAAATTCCATGAGTTCAGTGGGAAACTTATTTCTAGAGAAAATGTCATCGAGCTTTTGAAACGATAATGATTTTTTTCAGATGGATAGGGCCATGTTGAGTTAATGAAACCTTTATGATTTACTGAAAAAACATTATCTGGATAAATATAATAGACAATACAAGCCAGTATTACTACTTCGTGGTAGGAAATTATCATGAAAAATGATAAATGAAGCTTCTCTTTCTCGGCAACATATTTGTTGCCGTTCACTAGAGAAAAACAAAGAGAATACTCAATTATCTTCCTAGATTTGACAAGCTGAATGTTTATAAACCACTTGTATTTGTAACTAACGTTACTACAGTTTACTCCTATAAGGACATTTTTCAAATAATAAACTGAAATAATCAACATTGTTAACCCTCATGTATCTATACACTACCATAGGTAATAACTGACGGTCCTTAACTTGAAATGAGTACCTGAATTTTGGTGACTGGAATAACTATATGGGTATGTGACTATATATAACTATAGAACTTGTATGGATTGTTCTAAAACATATATAGGACAAACATCTAGACCTCTAAGTTGTCACATCACTTCCCATAAGAGCGACTGTAGACGAAATGTTAATTCTTGTGCATTAACGTAACATGTTGATTCGGAGGATCATAAAATGAATTTTGAAACCAATACAACTAAAAGAATATTTTTGGAATTGATACATATCAATAACGAAGAACATTCAATGAATAAACGAACTGATATAGATAGTCTATATATATTCTAACTTCGGGAAGAGAGATATTTCTTGAATTATGAATTTCTTCAAACGCCGGATCTGTCTCTCATACAATGTAAAATTATGGCCGAGGGAGCGAGACTGTTTATATATACATTATTCATCGTTGTGTTTTGAAAAGATGCACAGTGAGATATATTTGTCACGTAGCTCGTGATGTAAATATGGGCATATCAATATCCCATCACTGAAAGTTTTGTCAATTTAGCTGAATAGGTTTTTCTGATGGCCTCCGTTGCACGTGGGCGACTGTTGGAAAGAACGGTTTGAGAGACGGGGGGACGATGAATCCGTGATTTCTTCCTGGCTCTTGAAAGGAGAAAAGACAGAGAGTTCTGGGAGCTCTTCGCCTGAGGCAGCGGTCTTAGTGTCGTGCAAAAGTTTTTTGGGAAGTGAGTCTGCGTGAATTTTGAGAAGGTTCGAAAACTTGGGAGTTTGAAGGTGGATCAAGGGCAGTATTTCGTTTTGGGGGATAGTTTTCCTGGGTGGGATTTTTAATTTTTCATTCTTGAAAAACAGGAGGTTAGCGCGATTTTGGTAGTCTTTTTTTCTGGCGTAGGAGTAAATGAGCGTGTAAAGTTCGAGTGAAAATCGAGCAGTGTAATGCAAGAGTTCAAATAGGGGACGAGCAGGAAAAAGACAGCGCTGAGTTAAATATACATGTGTGCTAACCATTTCATGATTTTGTGGAGTAGTGAGCTATAATAAATTTGTATACAGAGTGGACCTGATAATTGCCTTATAGATATTTAGCGGTCAGCAATAAACGGCCATACTAGAGTATTTCTTCACTCTCGTATATTATATTACGGAGTGTGTGCGGAGCCACAATTGTCGCGTTTTTTCCATATTTGGTTATGGTTATTTTTTTTCTTTCTTATTTATTTTCTTTATCATTGAATACAGTATTTTTTGAGAGTTTTAGGCAGGCTTCCATTTCAAAATCTATTGTAGAAACCTCTTGTCAAAATGTGTCTCTGATTTTGTAAGATATTTTCTCTCTGCAACTGAAGACCTCCTCCTCGTGCAGGAGGCCGAATTCAAGCCTTTTCCAGAGTTGCCTGTCATCCAAACTTGGATGTGGAGAAATCTGCATCTGGTGACAGCAGCTACCAAATTTCATTTGAATAAAACAAACACGGCAATAGCGAAAGGGTCAACAAGGATTGATAGATAGTTAAGTATATATTAACCCGTAGATGTTGCGGTGGGATACATGTATATAAAAATAACGATGAAACCGTTCCAGGTTTACAACACTGCAGTATAGAAAAAGCAGAGTTCGTAAATAATACAAAGTTGGTTGGATTAAAAAAAAATGAGCGTGAGGAAATGTCGATGAAATGGGACACTTCAATAAGGTTGCCCTAAAAACCTAACTTATAACGGGTGGTTTTTGCCGGTCTTCTTCCAGCAACATTATCGACTTTGGGTGTATGTAAGAGTTAGTTATATTTTCCTTTTTTTTAAGCAAACCCATGGCAAAACTTACAAGAGTCTGTTGGAAGAAAGAACTAGATTCGGGATATTTCAGAACAATCTGCGAACAATCGAAAAACACAACGCCAAATACGAAAAGGGCGAAGAAACCTATTACATGGGAGTTAACCGGTTTGCTGACATGACAGTAGAAGAATTCAAGCATATGCTTGGACTGCAGGCTGAAGCGAGACCAAATTTGAATGCCACCCTTCACGTCTTTCCTGAAGAATTGGAAGCTCCAAAATTTGTAGATTGGACACAGGAGGGAGCAGATTTGGGTGTGAAAGACCAAGGACATTGTGGATCTTGCTGGGCTTTCAGTGTCGTGAGTAAATTCAAACAAATTGAGTTGATTACACTGTGAAAACTATTAATTTAAAAAAATTTCAACAACTTCAGCGTATATCATTTCTCCATTATGGAACAATGAGAGCTGATGATTCGTGATATATTTCAGATCGGGTCATTGGAAGGTCAGAACGCTATCCAGCATAAAGTGAAGATCCCTCTGAGCGAAAAACAACTGCTCGACTGTTCCGAAAGTTACGGAAACCGTAATTGTGAAGAAGGTGGATTTATAACGAATGCTTTCAACTATATCAAAGATAAGGGAATAGAATCTGACAGTTCCTATCCTTATTTCGACAGAAAGGCTACCTGCAAGTATGATGCCAGCAAAACTATTCTCAAAATAAAAGGATTCAAAGAATTGCGCGCGTCTGAAATGCAGCTGAAGAAAGCCGTAGGTACGTGACTCCAATGATTCTGTGACGTTGAAGACAAAAAGTTCAAGCAAATTGTCTTTTCTATCAATCTCCTCGATTTGAAAAAGGGGAGATATATAACCAAGTAGTAAACGAAAAGTTTCATAATTCGGGTTCCTTTAAAGCTGAATCTTTGCCTGGTTTGATACATTGGCGCGTCCAAGTTGTTGAACAATACTCTATTTTTAAAGAGAAGGCAGATTCTCTCATATATAAATAAGGAGACCACAGTTAGGATTCTGTTAGAGGCAAAAAGGGCCGACAAGAGTCCCTAGGCTTAGCTTTGCATATGCATCGTATTGCACGTTTTTGTAATACTGATTGAAGGCATGTGGTAGAACACACCCCAAAAGCAAATACCATAACGAAGATGGGATTCAAAAAGGGAATGATAAACCATTTTAGCTTCTGCAGATCCGAGCTCAAATGCAGTTACTCGTACTGCATAACATCCAGAGGAGAGCTTCGATTTTAAAGTAGCTACATGTTTGTTGAATTTTAAATTATCGTCAATGAACAAGCCAAGGAATTTGGAAGTTGGTATGTTGTCAATTTGAATATTATTTAGATGTACGGCTGGAATCTGGCAACGATAGGACACTACTTTTGTTTTTGATAAATTCAAACTCAAGAGAGTTGAGTCAAACCAGTCCTTCACTTTCGTGGTGTCATTCTCAATAACGTCATACATAAAGATGATAGGTCTTTAATGTAAATTAAGAATGAAAGTGGGCCCAGTATCTAACCTTGTGGGACGCCGCAAGTAATTTTACCTTCATTTGAGTATGAAGTGGTTTTGACCATCTGGGTGCGATCTGCTAAGTATGACACAAACCACTTAAGACTTATTCCAGTTAAACCGTATCTACTTAGATTCCGTAAAAAAAAAAATATGATTCACACAATCAAATGCTTTGGCTATATCACAGAAGACCGCAGCCACTGTTTCTTTGTCATTTATGTTGAAATAAACATTGTAAAGAAATGAAGATATGGCATCGGAAGTGGTTTTTTTTGCTTTTGGAAACCAAACTGGCAATCACTTATTATTTTGTTTTCATTCAGAAAGCAAAGGAGTCTTGTTTTGACTAATGTAACGAATAAGAACATTTATTCTAGTAGTAATTATAATAAGTTAGCATAAGGATGATAAACCAATTTTTTTTTATTCTAATGTTTCCAAACATATTTTGAGTTATTCACCAATCCAGATCAATGAGTGTTGTTATTATCAATCATATACTACTGTGGTCTGGATAGTTTTTGACATAACAAAGACATAATCTTCTTTTGACTATACACACTTCTCCCAGCGTTGCTCTTATCTCTGTAACCTGTCCAAATAGTTCTGAGCGCTTTTCTCCGCAAACTAATTGTTCACGAAAGGGATTGCCTCTTCGTTTGACAGAGAAATTTCTGTTCTTTGGGCGCAATTTCTAGATGAGGACAGAAAAAGAAGTCGCTTGGGGCTAGATCCGGGGAGTAAGGAGGATGGTCAAGCAGCTCAAACCGTAATTCGTGGATAGTTTGCTCGTGTGATGGTTCTGTATGAAATCGATTGGAACAACTTCATAACTATCACAAAAACGGCCCCAATCACTCTGCCAGCGGAAAAAAATTCAGTCCACTGTTTGGACTGTATTTTTGTTTCAGGCATATAATTGTGTATTCGAATTTCATCTATAATAATTATACGGCGAGAAACTCGGACTTTTCGCACCTAAACTGCGTCAATAGAGCGTGGAAAATGTTCATTCGAACACGTTTTTGATCTAACGTAAGCAAACGCGGTATTCAATACGCGGACAGCTTTCTCATACCTGAATGTTGATTTCATTTGTGACAAACACGTTCTTTTGACATTTTAACAATCTTTCCCACTTTAATTCGGCGTTGTCTAATACTATTTGGTGAATTTAGCCGATGTTATCGTCAGTAGTTGTAGGTTTTGGAATTCCCGAACGTTTATCTTCTCCCAAGCTACAACGGTCACGTTTCAATTCAGATGCCCAAAATTTCACTGTGGTGTGGTGAATGTCGGTGCTCATCTAACTCGTCTTTCATTTGCATAGGCGTATTCCCTTTCAAAAACAATTATTCAATGACAGCACGTCGATTTTGTCCATTTTCATTAAAACAATCACATCAATTTACTCAAAAGTGGCTAAAACTGTCAACAGTGCTGCCATCTTCATGTTGAGGTCAGAAACTTCCCAGACCATGATCTTCAACGACGCTATTTGGTATGAACAACAAAAGAGTCGAATATTTCTTTCAAATCTTGGAGTTGGAAATATTCTCCAAAATATTATTTATACAAGGTTTTTTCTGATGGAATTTCTATAATGTTATATTCATGATAAAGGTTCATGATAATAAAGAAATTGTGCATACGAATTTGAATTTTTACAGAGGATAGATCTCGAAAACAGAAACTGAAAATAATCATGTAGACATCTGAAGCCGAATTAGCTTCTCAGCAACATATGAAGAAAAAATCCGATACAAAGCACTCCTTTGTGTGAGGTGGGCTACCTATCGGGCGCGTTCTCAGGTGGTGGGGAACGGCCGTGGGACTGGGAGCCCTGTTCGGAAAGCCAATGTGGCCTTACAGACGGGGTCGCCGAACACCTGGTCAGTGACAGAAACAAGCGATTCAAATTCAACATAAACCGCTACTTCCCCACAGGGAACAATGAGAGCTGATGATTCGTGATATATTTCAGATCGGGTCATTGGAAGGTCAGAACGCTATCCAGCATAAAGTGAAGATCCCTCTGAGCGAAAAACAACTGCTCGACTGTTCCGAAAGTTACGGAAACCGTAATTGTGAAGAAGGTGGATTTATAACGAATGCTTTCAACTATATCAAAGATAAGGGAATAGAATCTGACAGTTCCTATCCTTATTTCGACAGAAAGGCTACCTGCAAGTATGATGCCAGCAAAACTATTCTCAAAATAAAAGGATTCAAAGAATTGCGCGCGTCTGAAATGCAGCTGAAGAAAGCCGTAGGTACGTGACTCCAATGATTCTGTGACGTTGAAGACAAAAAGTTCAAGCAAATTGTCTTTTCTATCAATCTCCTCGATTTGAAAAAGGGGAGATATATAACCAAGTAGTAAACGAAAAGTTTCATAATTCGGGTTCCTTTAAAGCTGAATCTTTGCCTGGTTTGATACATTGGCGCGTCCAAGTTGTTGAACAATACTCTATTTTTAAAGAGAAGGCAGATTCTCTCATATATAAATAAGGAGACCACAGTTAGGATTCTGTTAGAGGCAAAAAGGGCCGACAAGAGTCCCTAGGCTTAGCTTTGCATATGCATCGTATTGCACGTTTTTGTAATACTGATTGAAGGCATGTGGTAGAACACACCCCAAAAGCAAATACCATAACGAANATACCAATTTTATGTACCCCCTTTAAGGGGCTGTATCTTAACAAGGGATGCTCAAATGAAATTTCTTTATATGAAAGATCCTATCTTTTTTTCGATTTTTCGATGAGTAATCACCACCTTGAATGTTTTACACTTATTTAGTTACACCCTGTATAATAAAAAAGCATGAACTTTTGTTTTGTTATTCTATAATCAGTCTCTGTCGTATCCATCAAGAACGCTTTAAAAACGTCCTTTGACGGACCTCATTTGTACATTAAACATAAATTGGACAAAAAATGGACGTTCGTGGCGTACGTCCTATCATCGTCCAATATTTGGCATCCACGGGACGTACATTTATAGTCCAAGGACATCTCGACTAGAAATAGACCTAAATGGGACGTCCAAAGGATGTTGCGTGCTATTAGGATATCTGCTAGAGAGGAAGGTATGTTATTGCTGAAGGACATTTACAGGAGAATTCGGATATGCTAGAAGTAACTCCTCCTGGATATGGCATTACCTTCCACAAACTGGAACGGGAACCAACGTTGGGAGTCTATCTATCTCCTGATTCTTCCAGAATTGCCAGTTTCACCTCCGCATGGTCAAAATATACACCATCGAGGAGTTTTTAGTTGAGCAATAAAAACAAAGTATTGTACTGTATGACAATGAATTATCTCATATATTTCATCGACAATAATCCAACTGCTACTGTGTGACATGATTGATATGTTCATTATTCTGATAATGTTGATTGAGTTGATCCCATCATTTCAAAAAAGCAGTATAAATTCGCGAGTTTCCCATCGTTTGAGTACAGTTTCATCTTGCTGTTCTTAGGTGAGTTGAAAATTTTGAATTGACTTTTTCTTGATACTATTCGCAAAACTTGATGATTGAAAACAATTCTAAACTGAATCGAAAATTGATCATGAGTCTTTTTGAAGTGAATCAAAGATTTTAGTGAATTATTTTTTACTTACAGAAAAAACAAAATGAAACTATTTGCTCTCATCGCAGCTATCCTGGTGACAGTCAATGCTTCTACTGACAAGGACCAATGGGTGGCTTTCAAGGTAATGATACTTCTCGTTCAAAAGTTCACTGGCAAATTCCATGAGTTCAGTGGAAAACTGACTTCTGGAGTAAATTTCAGCGGGTTTTCCAAACGATAATGATTTTTCTCTATTTCATTGTTAAGAAGGCACAAAGACAGACAATTTGTTTTCAAGTTGTGTTCCAAGGAATTTTGTATATTCTGTTATTTCGAAACCTAAATTTATTTGGAGAGGGCGGTGATACTTACTTGAAAACTGGATAAATGTTGTTTCATCTTTATTATTTATTAAATGATCGTTTCTGCACCAACATTCGAATTCATTGATTACTAGTTTCATTTTATTTTCAATTTCATTTAGATCTGGGGACGTCACAATGATTTATGTGTCATCGGCATACATGAAAACTCGACGCTCTTTTAAGTTTTCGGGTAGTTCATTAACATAAAGTAAATATAATAGTGGTCCAAGCACCCCTCCCTGTGGGGTCCCCAGATAATTGCCGTTGATTTTAACGACTATTCGACTATTTTCCTATCACTCACATAAGATTCAAACCGTTCATTGATTGACCCTCTTATTCCCAGTTTATAGAGCTTTTTACTTAAATACTTCGGGTTGATTGTTTCAAATTCTCGGCTCAGATAAAAAAATATACCAACTCTATAGTATCCTTTGTTTATGTCATCAAAAATATATTGGATCATATCAGTTGATGCTGTTTCGATTGGAATTTTTTTCTAAATCCGTGTTGGCAAGAACTTATCAAATTATTTTGTTGCAAAAAACTTACCGTTCTGTTGTAAACTGCTTTTTCCATCAGCTCTCAAACTTCAATTCGTTAATTCTGGTCATTGCGATAATGGATTTGTGAGCTGGTGCAATGTTTTGATGAGACAACAATTCCTAATCCCATTCCTAGACCGGTTATTTGCTTATCAAAAGGTAATTCAAAGTTGGTTAAATTAAAAAAATTAACCGTAAGGAAATTCCTATAAAATGTGACACATAAATGAAGTTGTCCTGAAAAAATAACCTATAACGGAAAATTCTTTCCATGATCCATTTTAGGTGTATGAAAGAGTTGTTTATATTTTCCTTTTTTTGAAGCAAACCCATGGCAAAACCTACAAGAGTCTGTTGGAAGAAAGGACTAGATTCGGGATATTCCAGAACAATCTGCGAACAATCGAAGAACACAATGCCAAATACGACAAAGGCGAAGAAACCTACTACATGGGAGTCAACCAGTTCGCTGACATGACAGCAGAGGAATTCAGGCACATGCTTGGTCTGCAGAATGGAGCGAGACCAAATTTGAACGCCACCCTTCACGTCTTTTCTGAGAATTTACAAGCTCCAGAATCTATAGATTGGACACAGAAGGGAGCAGATTTGGGAGTGAAAGATCAAGGAAAATGTGGATCTTGCTGGGCTTTCAGTTCCGTAAGTAGTAAAATTTTCAGTGTTACGATCTTCGTTCGGGTTTGAAAGCCATCGTGGTTTGGAACTGTATCCTAAAGTTTCGCCAGCACGAGTAGCTGGCTTCTTCAGAGGTATATTCATCCTGATGGTTCACCAATGACTCATGATTTCCCCCCCATGTATCCTCCCGGGTTGAGTGCCCTGAAGTAGAAGCTTCCCCCCCTGCTAGTTTGCGAGGAGAACCTAATACCCCAATTCATCCACTCCCGCTTTCCAAGTGGTTCTCAACTTACTGATGGGCACTTCAGCAAGATTGACATCTGACCTCTTTTGGTCGAAAGTCAGCCTTTAGGTGCTATTCTTTCGAAGATCGTAACACTGTAAAGACACTGTTCTGAATATTTTAAACAACTATGGCGCATATCATTTTTCCATTGTGGAACAATGAGAGCTGATGATTTGTGATATCTCTCACAGAAATGTTCAACCATGATATATTGCTAATATTGAAAATCTAAGTACCACAATGGAATCAATGACACTACGTGAAATCTCTCTCAAAAAGCGACTTATTTCAGACCGGGTCATTGGAAGGGCAGAACGCTATCCACCATAAAGTGAAGACTCCTCTGAGCGAACAACAACTTCTTGACTGTTCCTCCAGTTACGGAAACGGTGATTGTGACGAAGGAGGACTCATGACGAACGCTTTCAAATATATCAAAGCCAAGGGAATAGAAGCAGGAAGTTCTTATCCTTATCAAGGAAGAGTGGGTTCCTGCAGGTATAATGCCCAAAAAACTATTCTCAGAATAAAAGGATTCAAAGAATTGCGCGCTTCTGAAGTAGAACTGAAAAAAGCCGTAGGTGAGTGACTTTGATGCTTCTGTGATGTTAAGAAATAAAGTTGAAGCAATTTTGACTGTTGTCCTTTCTAACAATCTGCTCGTATACCAATACGGATGTTGTTATTTTCAATTATATACTACGGTGGTCCGAGAAGTTTCCAGCCTAACGAAGATACAAGACATTTTTTCAGAATTATTTTTCATTTTCAACATAGTCTCCTTTTGAATCTACACGATTTTTCCAGCTCTCGTATCTGTAACTCATACAAATAGTACTCGGCGTTTTTTTCTGAAAAATAATGAGGAAACAAAAAAGTTGCTTGGGGCTAGATCTGGTTGGCAAGGCGGATGGTCAAGCGGTTCGAACCGTAATTCGTGGATTTTTGCCATGGCAACCGCTGAGGTGTGAGACGGTGTGTTGTCTTAGTGAAACAGGATTTTTTTCTGCAAATGTGGCCGTTTTTTCGAAAGTTCTACCTCCAGCTTTTCAAGCTGTAATGGTTATTCCTTTTCGAAAATAATGCTTTGAAATAACTTCATGACTTTCTCAAAAAACAGTCGCCATTACTGTCTCATCAGAAAAAAGAGTTTTTCCTCTTCTGTTAGTCGATTTTCTCTCCTGCAGTTCGCTGTATTTTTGTTTCGGGCGTATAATGGTATATCCAAGTTTCTTCTATAGTAATTAATCGGCGTCAAAATTCGAATTCATTGCGCCTAAACTGCGTCAATAGAGCGTTGGAAATGCTCATTGAAACAATTTTCTGGTCTAACATGAGCAACCGCGGCACCCAACGCCCGGACAGATTTTTCATGCCCGAATGTTGATGTTATATTCAAATTCAATTGTATATGCAATTGGCAATACAACTGAAAGATTCGACCTTCAATTTTGGAACGGGCACACTTGTAGACCGGTTTCGGGCTCCTTAGCCACTCGTCAGTTCAAGATACTGGTCATCATCGATTGAACTTTGAATGTTCAAGCCACAACAACAGAAGGCTACATATTGACTTCAATTTATTTGGTGAACAGTTGTAAATTCTATGTCCTATACGTTTTGGTGCACTTTGAGTTATCTCATACTCAGCCGCTCTAACGTGTATCATTTGCTTCAGGCGAGTGTTTTTATCATGAATATCGCTATTGAGAATGAAATAATTTCTGTTAGTGAAAACAAAAACTGACAATTCATAAATATATAATCCAACCAAAGTCAAAATTTCGTGTATAATGAAAATGTTTCGGCATGAATACTGTCTAGGAATGTTGAACAAACAGCGTAGGATACCTTTTTGTTGGATTAATATATTTTTGCTAATTGCGGAGCTGTTCCACAGACATACACCATCTTTATCTGTATCTGTATATGTAGAGTAGAGTGGTTGAATGTAGATCCACAGCACTTAGGCCACATGTGACCCATCCTCCTCCCGAGGAGTTGTCCTCCTAGGTCATCGTCCATCCTGTCCTTTCCAGGTAGGTGGGCAGGTCACTAGGAGACATCTCCTTCATATTGGCAGGTGTAGGCCAAGACTCGCCGAACGCACACTCTCTCTGGCAACCTTGAGGTGTCTCACGGTGGCCCCACGAAGGTTTTGGAAGGTGCAGCGACATAACTGTCGTTACGAAGATTCTTTAACCTTCTTGGGGTTCCCTCCGTAAAGGCGCACAAGTGAGGGAGCTTTCCTGCTGGGGCAGCCGGTTCCTTTCCTTCATTCAAGGTGGAGCTCTTGATGCCAGCCACAGAAAGTGCCCTTGCTGTTGGGCGCATACCACGATTCCTCACACCTCAGCTTGGGTAGGCTGGTCTCCACGGTGGCATGTTATGCAAAGGCTTTTGGGGAATTTTAGTTCCCCTCACCCTACTTATTTCTGCCACTGACCAGGAGTCCGGCGACCACGTCCATAAGGCCACATCAGCTTCCCGGACAGGGCCTCCAGTTCCCTGGCCGTTTCCCTATCCGCCTCCTGGGGACGCGCCCGATAGGTAGCCCAACCCACGGGAAACATACACCATATCGCCACTTGGATTCTACCTGGGCATGATAAACAGCCATAAGTAGGTTTATGTTGAGAACATCTCTCAAGTAGATGGAAATATTTGTTATTGCGCTCAATTTTAAAACTAGTTGATCACAGTGCTCATTCTAAAAAAGACTCTCATCCGTTTGAATAACTAGGAATCTATGGGTGTTTCTCAAAATAGAGTCATCAACAATCATCTGAATATCATCGGTTTTATTCTGATAGTTGTGAAAGTGGAATAACCGAGTTTTTTCCACATTGAAGAACAGGCCGTGAGTATTGAAATAGTTTGAAGCACTATCCAGAGAAAATTCTCATTTTCGTGTTGACTCATTCGTTATTCTGGCAGATATCACCAAGCTAATATCATCTGCATAGGCAGTTACTGTAGAATTTGATATTTCCCTGTCTATATATATAACAGAAATGAGAGTGGCCCAAGTATAGATCCCTGGGATATTCCCAACTGGATAAACCTCATTTCTGATGTTGAAAACGAATAAACATCACCTTTGTCGAATCTGAGCAAGGCACAGAAAAGGTGAAACCCAGAATATCCAATAGCTTGTTATGATCAACATAGTAAAAAGCCCTGCTCAAGTCAAATGGAACTACAGCGCGACACTCGCCTGTGTCGATAAATTCAATCAAGTCATCGTAGAAAGATATTAGGGCACTTTGAGTTGATTTACCACACCGGAAAGTATGTGACAAGCACGTTATTTTGACATGTTCATAACCTCTGCTAGCCCTCTAACTTTAATTCGGCGGTCGTCTAGCACGGCTTGGTCAACTTTTTGTCGGTGATTGCAGTTTTCTGATGTCCCGAATGTTCAAATTCAGCTGTCCAAAATTGGGGACCTCCCTTGCAAAGGAGGGTGCTTAACACCTGGATGGCAAGAAGAGTTATGGACTTCTGACAGAATCTTCCAGGATTGGCTCACTCCAAGGCGTTTATTCACCCTTCGAAGCTTGATACCAAACTTCTCTAGTAGTTTGTGTGGAAAATGGGACTGAACCTACACAAGATGTGTATCTTCGATTATTGGTAAAACTCTACCGTTATTTGGCTCGTCGTACTGGTGCCAAATTAAGCAAGGTTATATTGAAAAGATTTCTCATGAGCAGGATATACAGGCCTCCAATTTCCCTATCCAAGGTTGTTAGATTATTGAAAAAGTCTGGCAGAGAGGGACTGTTACAGTTGGAACCGTAACAGACGACTCCAGGATTTTAGAAATTCCTAAATTGTCCATTTGTACACTTCGTGTCACTAAAACTGCCAGAGCTAGAATCCTCAGAGCAGGTGGCGGAGTTATTACTTCCGATCAGGTAGCTCTCAGATCACCTACTGGCAACAGGACTGTCTTGATACAAGGCAAGCCTAATTCACGTGAGGCAGTGAAACACTTTAGTCGAGCTCCAGGTGTTCCTCACAGCCACACTAAACCTCTGGTGAGATCAAAGGGACGTAAGTTCGAGAGAGCAAGAGGAAGCAGGAAGTCATGCAAATTCTGAATAGGGACGCTATTTGGTATGAACAACAAAAGAGTCTTAGGTCTCGTGAGTCGAATCTCTCTTTCAAATCTTAGTTGTTTTTATTAATCGCAGTAAAATCATGAACGAACTATAATGTTGATTTTATTCAGGTACCATTGGCCCCATATCAGTAGCTGTTAGTTCAGAACATTTGCGGTTGTACGGTGGAGGAGTTATAACTACTAGGTGTATCAAAGACCTTGATCATGCTGTTCTCGCTGTTGGATATGGTTCTGAAAACGGTAGGAAGTACTGGAAGATTAGGAACTCTTGGGGAAAAACTTGGGGAGATCATGGATACTTCAAACTTGCAAGAGATGCTGGCAACCTATGCGGTGTTGCCTCTATGGCCTCATATCCACTTCTTTAAGACCTACAGGTATACAACGAGTTGGAAATATTCTTCAAAATATTATTTATACGAGGTTTTTTCTGATGAATGTTCTATGATGTTATATTTATGATAAACGTTCATGATAATAAAGAAATTGTGCATTTGAATTTGAATTTTTACACAGAATAGACCATGAAAACAGGAATTGAAAATGAACATGCAGATCACTATACATTCAACTATTTGAATGTATATCGCTTTACTCGATCACTTCGTGTACCGCACTGTAACTGCCACTTGACTGTGTAGATATTCTCGTGGCTAGCCTTTAAATATTGTGATTGAATGTTGTAGAAATTTCTCCGAAGTTCCATCGAAATCGGTAGCTTTATTCTCGCTGCTTCTCGAGTGGCAGAGAACATTGTGCATTTCCGCTCTCTTAGCTACATCACGTTTGGTTTAGGGTTACCAGGAGCAGCCGGCGTTATTTTCTTTCGGGCATTATTTACAACAATATGGAAAAAATCCGATACAAAGCACTGCTTTGTGGGAGAACAGTGTACAATTCTCTGAATCTTGTGTTCCGGTAATTTAGAACCTTTCAATACTTTCGTCGCTGGTTGAATAGGTTTATTTTATTTCAAAATTTTATATGCCAAGTGTTTTGATCCACTATTTTTTTATCGTGAGTATGAATACTCGATACACACAAGAATTATATTAACTCTTGTAAAAAAATAACTGGCAAGATGACTGTACTCTCACAAGGTTCAAAACGTAATGAATATGATTTTACAAATACAATATTTCACCTAGGTAGTTAGAGAGAGAGAGGCAGGTTGGCTGTTCTTTTTCATCTTTCACTACCTGAACCAATGTGCATGCTGTTTTTGGCGAGTGCATTGACTTGGGATGTGGGGGTTGAGCAAACTAGACATCGGATGCCTGCTTCTACGTAGCCTCGCTGGATACGGGAATGACAGAATCACTTGTGGTTCTGTTATTACCTAACTGAATGGCATCCCAATGATGGCTTAATTCTAAGGTGTGTGTATCGGTGCCAAGAGGATGAATGACACTGAGCCTATCAGCTGTGTCTACAGGACCTTCGAGATACCTAGCGCCGTCTCGTCGTAGCATCGCCTTGTCACGGTAATGCGGGGCTCTGCCGTGATTGACCTTCTTTCCCTAGCTACTCGTAAGACTTTTATTGTCAGAGTAAAAGTAAACTTATTTCTGACGCTGAGTCTATAGAGGAGATACATGTCGAGCTTACGATCCCAACTGACCTTCCTGTAAATTTAGTTCAGGAGCGGGTGTACAGAAGAGATGGATGTCGAGTTTACGACTCCAACTGACCTTCCTGTAAATTCAGTTCAGGAGCGAGTGTACAGAGGAGATGGATATCGAGTTTACGACTCCAACTGACCTTCCTGTAAATTTAATTCAGGAGCGAATCTACAGAAGAGATAAAAGTCGAGTTTACGACTCCAACTGTCCTTCCTGTAAATTCAGTTCAGGAGCAAGAGCTTCTCAACTCACCAACTCCTGATCCAATAACTGAACCTTAAAAAAAGATTTGGTGGTGCAGCCAGGAAACGACTGAGTCGTCTCCTGAAGAGCGGGGTACCTTATGAAACCGCCTTGCACCAAATTCTTGAGCGGCGTACGCATAATCAGATGGAGGAACAAAACCCCAATGAGCAGATTAGCAAGCGTTTTAAGCCACTCTCGGATATACCTACACAGTAGGTTGAATGGACTGACGCCTATCAGAAAACAACTACTGGCTAATGCCACGGACGGCGTTTTATTATATCCGTCAGTACAGAGCCAGATGAGTAGTTGTTTTCTGATAGGCGTCAGTCCATTCAACCTACTGTGTAGGTATATACAAGACTGGCTTGAACATTTGGAGTTCATTTCTTTATATTTGTTTACTGCCTGTCTTCAAGCATATCCCAGCCCACCGACTAATAAGAATTTTTTTTAAACAACAGACTACATATTGACTTCAATTTATTTGGTAAACAGTTGAAAATCTATGTCCTCTACGTTTTGGTGCACTTTGAGTTATCTTATACTTAGCCGCTCTCACGTTGTATCATTTGCTTCAAGCGAGTGTTTTTATCATGAATATCGCTATTGAGAATGAAATCATTTCTGTTAGTGAAAACAAAAATCCATATATATAATCCAACCAGAGTCAAAATTTCGTTTATAATGAAAATGTTTCGGCATGAATACTGTCTAGGAATGTTGAACAAACAGCGTAGGATAGCTTTTTGTTGGATTAATATATTTTTGCCCATTGCGGAGCTGTCCCACAGACATACACCATCTGTATCTGTAGAGTAGGGTGTAGACCCACAGTACTTAGGCCACATGTGACCCATTGTACATCCTCCCGAGGAGTTGTCCTCCTAAGTCATCGTCCATCCTGTCTTTTTCAGGAACAGGATGGACACACACTCTCTTTGGCAACCTTGAGGTGTCTCAAGGTGGCCACACGAAGGTTTTGGAAGGTGCAGCGACATAACTGTCGTTACGAAGATTCTTTAACCTTCTTGGGGTTCCCTCCGTGGAGGTGCACAAGTGAGGGAGCTTTCCTGCTGGGGCAGCCGGTTCCTTTTTTTTATCATTCAAGACGGAGCTCTTGACATCCGCTACAGAAAGTGCCCTTGCTGTTGGGCGCATATCACGATTTCTCACACCTCAGCTTGGGTAGGCTGGTCTCCGCGGTGACATGTTTTGCAAAGGCTTTCGGGGAATTTTAGTTCCCCTCACCCTACTTATTTCTGCCACTGACCAGGAGTCCGGCGACCCCGTCCATAAGGCCACATCAGCTTCCCGGACAGGGCCTCCAGTTCCCTAGCCGTTTCCCTATCCGCCTCCTGGGGACGCGCTCGATAGGTAGCCCAACCCGTGGGAGGCATACATCATATCGCCACCTGGATTCGACCTGGGCATGATAAACAGCCATAAGTTGGTTTTTGTTGTAAACATTTCTCAAGTAGATGAAAATATTTGTAATTGAGCTCAATTTTAAAACTAGTTGATCACAGTGCTCATTCTAAAAAAGACTCTCATCCGTTTGAATAACTAGGAATCTATGGGTGTTTCTCAAAATAGAGTCATCAACAATCATCTGAATATCATCGGTTTTATTCTGATAGTTGTGAAAGTGGAATAACCGAGTTTTTTCCACATTGAAGAACAGGCCGTGAGTATTGAAATAGTTTGAAGCACTATCCAGAGAAAATTCTCATTTTCGTGTTGACTCATTCGTTATTCTGGCAGATATCACCAAGCTAATATCATCTGCATAGGCAGTTACTGTAGAATTTGATATTTCCCTGTCTATATATATAACAGAAATGAGAGTGGCCCAAGTATAGATCCCTGGGATATTCCCAACTGGATAAACCTCATTTCTGATGTTGAAAACGAATAAACATCACCTTTGTCGAATCTGAGCAAGGCACAGAAAAGGTGAAACCCAGAATATCCAATAGCTTGTTATGATCAACATAGTAAAAAGCCCTGCTCAAGTCAAATGGAACTACAGCGCGACACTCGCCTGTGTCGATAAATTCAATCAAGTCATCGTAGAAAGATATTAGGGCACTTTGAGTTGATTTACCACACCGGAAAGTATGTGACAAGCACGTTATTTTGACATGTTCATAACCTCTGCTAGCCCTCTAACTTTAATTCGGCGGTCGTCTAGCACGGCTTGGTCAACTTTTTGTCGGTGATTGCAGTTTTCTGATGTCCCGAATGTTCAAATTCAGCTGTCCAAAATTGGGGACCTCCCTTGCAAAGGAGGGTGCTTAACACCTGGATGGCAAGAAGAGTTATGGACTTCTGACAGAATCTTCCAGGATTGGCTCACTCCAAGGCGTTTATTCACCCTTCGAAGCTTGATACCAAACTTCTCTAGTAGTTTGTGTGGAAAATGGGACTGAACCTACACAAGATGTGTATCTTCGATTATTGGTAAAACTCTACCGTTATTTGGCTCGTCGTACTGGTGCCAAATTAAGCAAGGTTATATTGAAAAGATTTCTCATGAGCAGGATATACAGGCCTCCAATTTCCCTATCCAAGGTTGTTAGATTATTGAAAAAGTCTGGCAGAGAGGGACTGTTACAGTTGGAACCGTAACAGACGACTCCAGGATTTTAGAAATTCCTAAATTGTCCATTTGTACACTTCGTGTCACTAAAACTGCCAGAGCTAGAATCCTCAGAGCAGGTGGCGGAGTTATTACTTCCGATCAGGTAGCTCTCAGATCACCTACTGGCAACAGGACTGTCTTGATACAAGGCAAGCCTAATTCACGTGAGGCAGTGAAACACTTTAGTCGAGCTCCAGGTGTTCCTCACAGCCACACTAAACCTCTGGTGAGATCAAAGGGACGTAAGTTCGAGAGAGCAAGAGGAAGCAGGAAGTCATGCAAATTCTGAATAGGGACGCTATTTGGTATGAACAACAAAAGAGTCTTAGGTCTCGTGAGTCGAATCTCTCTTTCAAATCTTAGTTGTTTTTATTAATCGCAGTAAAATCATGAACGAACTATAATGTTGATTTTATTCAGGTACCATTGGCCCCATATCAGTAGCTGTTAGTTCAGAACATTTGCGGTTGTACGGTGGAGGAGTTATAACTACTAGGTGTATCAAAGACCTTGATCATGCTGTTCTCGCTGTTGGATATGGTTCTGAAAACGGTAGGAAGTACTGGAAGATTAGGAACTCTTGGGGAAAAACTTGGGGAGATCATGGATACTTCAAACTTGCAAGAGATGCTGGCAACCTATGCGGTGTTGCCTCTATGGCCTCATATCCACTTCTTTAAGACCTACAGGTATACAACGAGTTGGAAATATTCTTCAAAATATTATTTATACGAGGTTTTTTCTGATGAATGTTCTATGATGTTATATTTATGATAAACGTTCATGATAATAAAGAAATTGTGCATTTGAATTTGAATTTTTACACAGAATAGACCATGAAAACAGGAATTGAAAATGAACATGCAGATCACCATACATTCAACTATTTCAATGTATATCGCTTTACTCGATCACTTCGTTTACCGCACTGTAACTGCCACTTGACTGTGTAGATATTCTCGTGGCTGGCCACGAGATTCTTGTGCATCTCCCCCTTCCTCATATAATACTCGTAGCCACAATATTAACAAAGACCTACCTATTCCTGCGAGCTCCCTTGTAAGGGATTCAATTATATTCAACCAGATCAAACTGTTCAACCACTTACCAAGCCGAATTGAAGAAATTATAGTGCCTAACAAATTAAAAAAAGCAGTTAAAATGCTACTTTTTGATAGGGCCTATTATTCAGTTCAGGAGTATCTTGACGATTCACTTGAATCTTGACTTTTATTTCTATGTCATGTTATTTCCAGCTGAATACCTCAGTGTATTTCACATTTTTATCTTATGTTTATTGTATTTCGTTTGAGTTATGTATGTATTTTTACTGTAGATTTTTGTATCTTCCATATTATTTATGACTTTGTCTACAAGATGTAGTTCTTCAGACAATAAAGTATATTTGATTTGATTTGAAAAAAATATATTTGTAGTATGGGATCAAAAACAGTGTACTATTTTCGTTCTTCTATGTATTTATTTTTCAGTTACATATCATAATTTGTTGATGAAAATTTCGAATGAAGCAAGTTTTTTGATGACAAATGATGACCTTATGATCCCTAGTATAGAACTGGGTAACTGGGGTCATCGGCAATACCACATAAATTGTTAGCATCTCTTTTGATCCTGAAGTACCCGTTTTCTCCCCAGTCACTTCCCCATGAGTTTTTGACTCTCCAGAACTTGGTTTTACCAGACGACTTATATACTTCTCCGTAACCTACCACAAGTACACCATGATTCAGTTCATGTGTACAGCCTTGTCCTTTGTATATTCCTCCAATATAAAGTTGAAACGGATTAGCATGCATGGCAATCGATATCGGACCGATGGTTCCTGAAATCATATCATTTAGTTCAAGTTTCTGTCTATACCAGGAAGCGATAGCATTTCTTCCATTACAATCAAGACTGCAGAGTTTCTTTCAATTCTCTCATGGAGTTCTACTCACCAACGGCTTTTCTGAGTTCCTCCTCAGATGCGTTCACATTTTTGTATCCTTTAATTTTCAAAATTGTTTTGCTGGCATTGTACTGGCACTCGGTGTCTTTGCCTTTGTACGGATAAGACTCCTCTGCTTCTATTCCGTAGTCTGTGACATATTCGAATGCGTTTGACATTTGACCTCCTTCTTCACAGTCACCATTGCCATACGTATAAGAACAATCGAGTAACTGCTGTTCGCTCAAAGCTATCTTCACATTGTTCAGAATGGCATTTTGTCCCTCCAAAGCTCCGGTCTTGAAAAAAGTAAACATGATACAAAAAAACGATCCATGTTGAGTAGCTGATAATGCCAAAAGTACTTTCACCTCAATATAGAAGTTTGGTACCCCACTGTTGTTTATCAGGCAATCTAATAACCTAAATTACGTTCATGTAGCAATACAATGAGGATTAACACTGTTAGAGAGATAAGATATAGTACTATGAAGATAAGAGCTGGCTATAGTATAACAATTTTCAATTGAAGGTAATTCATATAAAAATTGAACTGAGAGCTAACGGCGGCAATGTTAAATGTTAGAACTAAATTCTTACCGGGGTCATTTTCAATGGCTATGCATCGCCATTATAAATAATTGAAAAGTAAGATGATTCTATAAAATTTGCCCCCCGCAACAAGATAGCTTCTGCATATCGATAGGATGTATGAGCGAATAGGTGAACCAGTTTGTTAAATACTTTGTATGTAGTGGTACGCCTCTGCAGAGTTGGTAAGAGGATTATCCGTTGGTCACTTCAAGTACGACATTGCTAATGAATCACCTTCAATTGAAAATTGTTATAGTATAGTTTGATCTATTGAAACGTTATCGGGTTCCCCTTTGCGTCTATACAAAATACTTACAGTACTGAAAGCCCAGCAAGAACCACAATCTAGTTGATTTTTAATATCCAAAACTGCTCCTTTCTCGGTCCAATCTATGGAATCTGGAACTTCCAGATCTTCTGGAAATACGGTAGGTGTGGCATGTAAACGAGGTTTGTTCTTGATTTGTCTCCTCAGGAAATCTCCGAACTCTTCAGGGGTCAAATCAGCAAAACGAGTGACTCCCAAGAAGTAGGTCTCTTCTCCTTTGTCGTACCTGGCATTGTGTTCTTTGATTTTCTTCAGGTTATTTTGGAATATTCCGAATCTTGTTCTTTCTTCCAACAAGCTTTTGTAAGTTTTTCCATGAGTTTGCTGTGAAACAATTGCTGGAAGTTATTTTCATTAAATTATTTGGTAATACCACGAACAAATATGAGATATATTGTCACAAATATTGGACCAATATTTTAGAGATGAAATCATACAGGAACTAAAACATTCATATCCAACAAGGTACATGAATAATGCCTTTGCCTTCGTTGTCCTAGCCCGAAGGCCTTTCAACTGGCATCTTTCCTCTGTCCAGCGCCACCACTGTTAAGGGAACCCCTATTCCTCCGTAATCTCCTTTTCCACCGGCGCATAACGTCGGCCATACGGAGGGATGAATCAGCGGGGTAGAAGACCGTTTTCCCCATTTCTCAACCAATACACTACAATACTTCATGAGATAATGTCAAATCGAACTAAAACAACAATTCTCTCCTTCAACTGTAGTTGAAAAATAAACAAACATAAGTGAAAGGAAGAAAATAAATGAATTCACAGAACAGACTCTTTTCCTACATTCAATAAGCCCAACCCATGTACCCCAATGAACAGCACATGAACAATGGCACATTTTTCCGGAGCTCTTCGCAATTTGACAGATCCATGTCCTGCCCTGACTGAGAAGACCACGTTCTATTACTCTGAGCTGGCAGCTTACCATCTATCCTTTCCTTTCATTCCTCACCATACTGTCCGCTCATTCATTCATGAATCGTATACATTCATTTATGTCCCTCAGCATCATTCCATCACCCACCTTTTCATCCTTTCGTTTCACTCTCGCCATCCAATCCTATCTCCGTGCATGCATCTATCAATCACGTGCTCTGCCGTTTCAGGATCCCCATAGTCCCAAGGACAGGGAACCTTCAGATCCAGGTTGAATCGAGCCAGGTATCCCGGAAAATCACCATGCCTCGTGAGAAGTTGGGCAGCCTTCCGCAACAGATCCAATGATCCATATCCGACTGTTCCACCTGTAGAACAGTCACCCAGTCGTGCCTCTCTTCCATTACCTTTGCTATACTCTTCTGATACTCTCTTTTATCCGTTTCCTCTCCTCTATTTTGTTGTGCAGCTTTCTCACATTCCATGTGACCTGCTATTTGTCCTTAACCTTAATGGCCTCTTCGTTTGCCTTCATGTTTCCTGTGTTACTGCCATCATGTCCTTCCTTCAGGTGACCTGGGTACGTACCCTCTCATGCTCCTCTTCTAATCATCCGCTGAATCATTGCTACTCTTTTATTCGACACTCTCCCTGCTATCACTCGTTCTACAGCCGTAGCAGGATCACTGTCTACTTTCAGGCTCTTATCTATACTCCACATACTAATCACTCGCTCAATCGCAATCAGCTCTGCTTCTTTCACGCTGCTTTGACCGGTGATCCTTTCATTCCCTGTAGTTCATTCATCCTCTCTCCTTTTATACGCCCAGCTTATTTAAATTTTTTCATCCTACAACCTCGCTTCGGCATCTATGTATACTTCATTCTTATTCTTTCATCATCCACCTCCTCCAGCAACTCCCCTTGCAACCAAAGAAATATCCTATCTTCTCTGGTCTAACCCCTCTGGACCTGTACGTTAAAGAGGTTACGGCCATGTTACGATGGCGCAAGGCTGGTGTTAACCTCGAAGCACGAATGGGTCATTTGAGAAGCCTATGGCGAGAAGCGCTTACTGCGCAACCTCTGCTGCAGGCAACCAGTGCTGCAGTTGAACCCAGGCTTGTGTTTAATAAACTCTACAAAATACAAATAAAACAGAACACAGAGCCAGATGCTATAAATGCAATACGCATATATACATACTGCTAAAAAACCAAAGAAGGCTCAGGATGTGGAGTATACTTCAGATCATTAAGCCTAAGGATTAAGTGAGCAATGGAAAAAAATACCAGCCTGGTCCAAACAGAACTGGCTGGTATCTCAATCACCACAAAAAAAACCAGGAAAGGAATTTCTGGCAAAAACATAACAATCTGCATTGATAGCGGACAAACCCTATTAGCCTTGAACAGACAACGTGTTACCTCAGGGCTAATACTAGAGTGCCACCAAGATTTAGCCAAAGCCTCGGTAGATAATAACATTATCCTGAGGTGGGTTGAAGGCACGACAGGAGTGAAGGTAATCGCATTGCCGACTCTTTAGCCATGAAAGCGGCTGGACTGAGAATTTTAGGAGCCAGTGGCACCTACGGCCTGATGACTTCGACAATTGTGGAATCCCTAAAGAGATGGGATGAAATCAAGGGATGCAATCTTGCCAGGATCACCCTAGGCGACCCTGGGAAGCTGGCGCCGAAGAAATATATAGCAATGATTAAGAAAAATCTACGCTCAACAATAGTATTTCTGACTGACCACTGTCAACTAAGGAAACACCTCCACAATATGAGGCTAGTTGACACACCTCTATGCAGGATATGTGAACAGGAAGATGAAACTGTAGGCATGTCCTATGCGAATGTTCGGAGTTATCGTCAATAAGAGAATGTGTGTTGGGTGAGTCTTGGCCTACACCTGCCGATATAAAGGAGATGTCCCCCAGAGACATGTCCACCTTCTTGGAAAGGACAGGATGGATGACCTAGAAGGACAACTCCTTGGGAAGATGTCACATGTGACCTAAGTGCTGTGGGCCTACAGTCACCCTCCCTACTCTACAGATACAGATCCTATCTTCTCCTTTCACTCTGTCCTCTATCTTCCTTATCCCATTCACTCTCCATTCTTGATATCTGGCCCTTCCTTCAACTTGAAGTGGCGCCATTCCGGTGATTGCACTGAGCGCAGCTGTTGGCGTCGTTCTGTATGCCCCACAAGAGGCTAGCAGAAAAGGCCTCTTTGCCGCGCTCAGCTATCTTTTTGCCCTACTATCATGCACCCTATTCTCCCAGATTTACACACCAACAAACTGTTTGATCTTCCTCTTGAAGATCATCACTTGATGATCGAAACGCGTGTCGAGGTGTTGAAATAACGGTTTGCTGTTGGGAAAAAACTCCAGTTATATTTATTGATATATAATTTTCCTGGGTTTTTATGTTTATTGATCTCCAAATTGATTGTTTTTTCATTACACATTGATATTCAAAAATGAGAAATGAATATATTTTTCAGATAATTTAACGACTGTTATGAGATGATTAAATTGTGAATTTACATTAAAAGGCATGATGTTATGAACAATAATTTTATATAATACTAGAAACTAATGAGAATGTTTGAATTACTTCCACTCTACTTTCGGAACTGAACTAGATTGTTGGGAAAATGTTTACCTTGAAAGCAATCCATTGATCTTCATTGGTAGAAGCAGCGACTGCTAATAAAACAGTTGAGAAAATAGCCAGAAGTTTCATTTTGATTTTTCTGAAAAAAAGTTTTTAGTCAAAAATCATCATGAGAAACGTTCAAACAAATCAAACTGGCTCTCTTAGAAAGTCCTTATGATCACATTTTCACGTGATTTGTTCAACAGTTTTGATTACCTAACCTAACAAACCAAGCATTTGTTTGATTCCACTCACATCCACTTTATCATATTATCACTGACATTCCACTATTTTTATACAACTCTCATAATTACAAATGGGTCTTATGATATTCTATTAGAGGAATTTAACGAGGTATTCTTCTATTTGATAGACTGGTTCAGGGCCAACCAATGGAATTCAAATATCGAAAAAGCTAATTATGTGCCATTTAATAATAGACAAAAGGATTGTCCTGCAACAAATTTTTTTTTGTGGGTATGCCATTCACGTGAATCACAAAATCAATAGTTGATTTTTATATACCTTTCAGTAGTACTTTGACCTACAGAGTATTTGATTCAATTCCAAATGATGCGAAACCATATACAGTTTCAAAATAGCTCTGAAAAAATATTTGATAAATGAAAGCTTCTACTTCGTTGAAGAGTATTTACGAAAACAAAATGTTATTGTACCTGCATTAGCTATAATTGATATGAGTGTTAAAAGTAAGGTTCTATTTTGTGAGTGAAAAAGTTTGCGGAACGAGCGTAGCGAGTTGCTGGTTATTAATGCCTTGCTTAATGAAGAACAATAGTGAGGAGTTGTGTGTGTCTGACGATATTGAAGAGGCTGCGAAAAGAGCTTCAAATGAATTGTTACCAAAAAAATTGGCTGAGTAGTACGACATCGCATATTTTATTTTCTAAGATAACGTAGACCTAAACACGTCGAAGAAAATTTCAGCGAAACCGTCTTCTTAGCATATCCAGAAGATAAATCAAAAATATGTAACTCGTTAACTTTGTGGAGCAACTTTCCAATGATAAAGTTGAGTGTCGTTAAAAATGATGTTAATACAAGCAAATAGTTGCTACTATTTTCGGGATATATGGAGCCTACCGGTGTGAAGAGTTGTGCTATTCATCAATAGAAGACATTAAATTAATGGATAAATCATTGATTGTTCAAATTCCAAATACAAAAACGAAAATAGGTATTTCTTTTTGCATTGTTGGAAAAAACATTGACTATTTTAATGTACCTTTTGGTATTTTCTTTTGATTTTCAATATAGTCTCGTGACAAATCCTATACAATTTTAGTATTGTCTGATGAAAAATAAATTATTATTATACAATAGCTGTTTCATATTTGAGGTTTTGTAAACTGTCTAGTGGAAATCTCATGATAAAGTGTTGATCAAATAAGTTATGGATTTTCATCCAATTTCAACACTTAACATTTTATGCTTCGAATAGTGGAAAGTAAAAAATTTAAAAAGCTCAAAAGAACTAACCAAACTTCAAAGAAATCATCAGGAAATGTTATTTGTATAATGATCAACAAATATACGATATTGGCTAGGTGGGACAAATTGAATGCTAAATTGGAGTATTTTTCAAGTAACTTATTTTTCAGCAGAGTTTCAAAATCTAAGCTACAAAATTATCGTTTTTCAGCTGACAAAAATGTAACTGAAGAAAATTTGGTCCAGTAAAAGGATCAAGTTTTTCTCAAAAAAAAAACTCTTCGAAATTAATTAAATTCTTCAGGGCTCAGAAATTAGTTTCTTCGTGTTGATAATATTACTATATCAAAAACCATCAAACGTTTGGTTCATGTCGTTTTGTGTAGGTGTTGTCTTGGTAGTTTTTTGCAATGTTTTTTTAAATATGTATCTAATATGTCTGATGGTTTTTAAAATAGTGCTATTATCAACACGAAAAAGCGAGCCTTGAAAGAGAATTTATTTAAATTCGTTACGTCGGCAAAAAACAATTGTTTATTTTAAGAAAAAATTATCCTGTTGACCAACCAATATTTCTTCAGAAAAATTATTAGGTCACTAAACTAGTTAACTGAACAAAAAATCTAACGGTTGTTATCGATGGATTATGAAAATAGTGGAAAAAAACCAGCAGATTATATGGGTCACCAATCATTTCAAAATCTATTGTCAAAGTAACGATAATCAACTCACCTCAATGGAACAACAAAAAGAAATCATTCCTATATTTGAATGTACTCTGAATTTATACTATTTTTCTTTGTCATTGGTATTGCTCCACAATAATCTCAAGTACGTAGACAAACATCATAATAATAGTAACTCCTAAACAATTGGTTGGTTCTAAGAATTTCACAAAAGCAACGCTCATCAATCTGTACAAGTTTTTTCCCGAAAAATTGACCCTAACCTGGAGAGAGTAACCCTGTAAAAGTGATTTTGGTATAGTCCATAGTCCATAGTTCATAGTCCATATCTACAGAAAAATGTTATGAACGATGAAGCATGACTTCACGTTTAGCAAAAATTTTTGCTAAACGTATGGGTAGGCATGATTGATAACTACCTAATAAGCCAATAATTTCTATCAGCAAGATCAACAAGTGAATCCTTCACGAAGGTTTTTATCCATTTTGTGAAACGAAGTTCCGGTACTTGTAAAAGGCAACATGTGGTTTATGCACGACAGGGCTCCAGTTTATTTTAATGTTCTTGCTCGTCAGGATATCCACTTCACCTACTCCAATCGCTGGATTGAACGTGCAGGACCTCAAAATTGGCCAGCTCACAGTCCTGATATAAATTCTCTAGATTTATAATTATAGGGTCATCTAAAGGCTTCTGTTCATGAAACTACTGTTTATAAAGAAAACACAAGCGACAAAAAGTTGTATTTTGAGTTGCTCAATCTGAAAAATTCAGTCAGTCACTGAGACGCCGCTGGACCTAATAATTCCAATCTAGTTTAGACTACATAAGCGCCTTATAAATTCAAATAACTGCAACTTCAACTTACTGTATTTCAGAAACGAAGCAACTACGGAGATATGTTCATAGAAACTGTTTTTCTCAAAATGACCTAACGAATCACCTTCTGGAGTTTTGTACCGTAGTTAGGAAATACCCTGTATATGATGATTGAAAAACTCTATTCGGTAAAACCGATTGCAGAAAATAGCAACCTTAAACGGAGTATGATTCAGCACATCCTCAACTGTTCAAATAGGTCCTTAACTAATTACGAGTATTCCCTCAATGTACCAGAAAGAATAAAAAGACTAACTAATCAAACTTGAAGACTACAGCAAACGTTGACTTTCACTGAGGTGAAAGTCAGCAGAAGAATAGTGAAATTGCGTAACAAATACTAAGAACAAATAACTAAACATAGACAGGAACTACAGCAAATTTTCTATTTGGACGAATCTTGGTATGCCACTCACGACACAGTTACGAAAGGGTGGACTGATGGACTGATACGAGAATGTATACGCCTAACATGCCTGCAAACAAAGGATCGCGATTAATCATAGTGCATTACTCGTGGAAGAGATCACTTATTACTTTGATTCCATGATTCGAAAAGATTCCAAATATAATAATAATGGATCAGGATCAAGCAAAATGCATCACTGTATTTTTAGACTTAGCCAAGGCATTCGACACCGTCAATCATGATATCCTCTTTCAGCGGTTACAGGACATTGGAGTTAGAGGAATGCCTCTCGAAATTTTCAAAGATTACTTATCTAACAGAATTCAGATAAAATATAACCCCTTCAATTGAAAAACTCTATTCGGTGAAACAGATTGCAGTAAATAGCAACCTCAAACGGAGTATGATTCAGCACATCCTCAACTGTTCAAATAGATCCTTAACTAATTACGAGTGTTCCCTCAATTTACCAGAAAGAATAAAAAGACTAACTAATCAAACTTGAAGACTACAGCAAACGTTGACTTTGACTGAGGTTAATTGAGGTATAGTCAAAGTAACCGGTATTCTGCATAGTTAAAGGTGTCGGCGCCTCAAAGGCCAAAAAAACCAATACAGAGTAATAAAGCCGCTGCCAGCTAGTCCACGTGGACTGAAGAATTGAAGGTTCGTATTGGATACTTTTGAAGTCATGTTACGGTGACGAAAAGAATGCGTGGATGGTTATAACAGTCGTGTTGTCAATGTTCAGTTCGGGAACTGATCGCGATTTGAGTGCTGAAATTCGATACTGGTGCAGTTATGATTACTTAAAATTTTTGTTTTCTGTTTATAATGTGGCGTCCTTGGACAAGTACTAATAGTAATAACTATTGTGATAACAATACGTATTGTGTGAACGATACGAAAAAGAGATACCAGTGAATAAGATTCGGATGCATTTGAATATTGAAACACAAAGTATGTTTCAATGTATATAAGAATCTACATCTCAAGTTTGGTTTCGAGGGAAACAAACTATTACAAGCAACATCAAATTTGATATAAATTCCTTTCTCAACTGTACGTATAGTTAAATAGTTAAAAACAAACCTTATGAACACTAGACGCGATGTGAAACGGGATTACCAAAACCTTCAGATGTTCATCTAATAAAATCATTGAAAAAAAAAATATATGACTCTTACAAAAGCAATGAAGTTCCTACAACTGACATCATAAGGAAGATATTGAATATTTACGGCCAAAACGTGAGCTGCTGTGACAAAACTCTTCAGAATTGGATGAAGAAATTTAAAATAATGAACAAACGTCAAGCAGTTATGGAAAGCAGAAGAATAGTGAAATTGCGTAACAAATACTAAGAACAAATAACTAAACATAGACAGGAACTACGGCAAATTTTCTATTTGGACGAATCTTGGTATGCCACTCACGACACAGTTACGAAAGGGTAGACTGATGGTTCGAGAATGTATACGCCTAACATGCCTGCAAACAAAGGATCGCGATTAATCATAGTGCATTGCGGGGAAAGTAAAGGATGGGTTTTAAATTCTTTGAAATTATGTGGAAAAAACTTGAGGACTGCAATGTTGAATATCATAAGAACATGGAAGCTGATATTTTTTGGAAATGGTTTGAAAACACATTGATCTTAAATTTGGATACGAATAGTATAATAGTTCTTGACAACACTTCCTATCATTCGCGACAACTCATCAAAGTACCGAATTAAAACTCGGGGAAAGATGAAATACCAAGTTTTGTTAATGGATAACAATTTGTATTTTGAATATTACTATACCAAAAACCAACTATTTGATGTTTTACAGACAAAAAAGGGAGCTTTTGGAGGGTTAGTTGCACTATATCCTTTACTTGAACTTCAAACTATTTTTATCGAAGGTGGAGAACACATAACCTACCTACACCTGTTATGAATAAAAAATTTCGATACGCACATTTTTGTCTTGAATGACTTGATTGTAGAAATCCAAACCCATTGTTTTTTTCCAAAAAATGGTGAAATTACTCGTGGAAGAGATCACTTATTACTTTGATTCCATAATTCGAAAAGATTACAAATATAATAATAATGAAAAATTACTTTCCAAATATTCAATACAACAGAATAACATAATGTATAAATGAAAAATCTACGGAAACCAACAATAAATCTGGAAAAACTCGATCAAGAAATTTCGTACGTATCATGATCCACTTTATCGAAAGGGAAAGTGGGGAGATTCAACCACGGCGAACATTCAACCATTCATTTGCGTTTCAAACTTCCCGCTTGTGAATAATACTGCGATTTTGTTTCAAACAAACTGGTTTTAGTCTACCATGTATTTATTTTTCAGTTATCATACATTGTCAATAAAGATCGTGAATAAAATATTTAGAAAGTTTATGATGACAAAAAGTGATCAACCAAATGATCCTTATTAAAGAACTGGGTAAGTTGGGTCATCGGCAATACCACATAGGTTGTTAGCATCTCTTTTGATTCTGAAGTACCCTTTCTCTCCCCAGTAATCTCCCCAGGAGTTTTTGACTTTCCAGAACTTGGTATTTCCAGACGACTGAGATACCTCTCCATAACCTACAGCAAGTACACCGTGATCCAGTTCATCTGTGCAGCCTCTTCCGCTTAATATTCCTCCAAAATACAATTGTAGTGGATCAGCATTCATGGCAATCGATATCGGACCGATGGTTCCTGAAATCATAATATTTGGTTCAGATTCCTGTCTTTCCATGACGATTAGGACTCCGCGGTTTCGTTCGATTCCCTCATTGATTTCTACTCACCAACAGCTTTTCTGAGCCCCTCTTCAGATGTGGTCACATTTTTGTACCCTTTGATTTTCAGAATTGTTTTGCTAGCATCGTACTGGCACACAGTTTCTATGCTTTTATATGGATAAGACTCCTCTGCTTCTATTCCATAGTCTCTGACATATTCGAATGCGGCTGACATAATACCTCCTTCATCACAGTCACCATTGCCATAAGAACCAGAACAATCGAGTAACTGCTGTTCGCTCAAAGGGATCCTCACATTGTTCAGAATAGCATTTTGTCCCTCCAAAGCTCCGGTCTTGAAAAAGGTAAACATGATTTTTCGATTCCAAAGCACGATCAATTTTAAATGGCGGATAATACCAGAAGGACATTGAATTAATAGATACAGATAAACATACAAAGGTATACACAAACATACAAATACATGTTAGATCTAGATAAAATGCAAGTAAAATAGGTTTCACTTTAAAATTATTTTGCCCAGGCATCATATAAAATCCTATGTAATGATATCAATAATATATATAGTACTTCTCTGTCTATAAATAGATAAGTACTATTCTGATCATTTACACATTGGTTTTAATTTAAGAGTCACAGATAGACAGGTGTTTCAGCCTATTGAGCATCGTCAGTACCAGGCAGGTGGTCGTCGATTGAAGACAAAATGTGTATCATAGTCATCTTCATTTTCATCAGGTTGGAAATTTTTCCCTTACCCTTTCAACTGAGATTCGTCAGGAGGACGAATGGTTCATAACGTTTGCGTCTGTAGAAACTTTACGTCTCTCCAAGTCTATCGCCTGAGTTTTTTTTTATTCACTCGAATCTTCCAGTGAAGATACCAGCGTTCGAGGTCGTCCAATGCGCGTTACATGTAGACGACCGCCAACGCCCGACCCATGGAAGAAGCGAGGAGAGCCGTATCATCGGCGTAAAGGGAAACCTTGGTTAGTTCCGCAATTCTCAGTCGAGCCACTTCCTTGGCAAAAGAGTCAGCAATGCGATTACCTTTACTCCTGTCGTGTCCTTCAATCCACCTCAGGATAATGTTATTATCTACCTAAGCTTTTTCCACAGCTCATTAAAAACATTCTGTACTTTTCCTTCTCAATCATTCTTTCTTTCGAGTTGTCCAATACTAGATGAAGTGTACAGGCACTTTTGACCGGTATAAAAATTCGAAGTTCATATTTTAATAGTACAATGAAAGTTGCTAGGGAGAACTGCAGATTTCAAATATTTCGACAAATTGAGAAGATGCATCAGAAGAGAGAATTTCGAAATTTTCGGATTCTCCTGTATACTTATCTGCAGAACCGACAAAGCTAAGGTCGAATTTTTGATATCATTCTTCAGTGCCCAAAAAGAGGTAACTTTGTCACAGTTCAACCAATCCTTCATGTTTCATGAGATCCCCATACATAGACACGAATTTGAATAGCCCTGTATATTAGGTGAAGAATGTATAGAATAGTGAAAAACGTGCTACATTTCTATAAACTGTTTTAAGGAATTGTTGAATGCGGATCTTTTTCAGATCGTGCATCTGTTATATTTTCTTTTAAAGCAGTTATACCTAATAGCATTGAACATTAAAATATAAACGATGTTGGTCTTATAATATTGAACTTTGGTACCATGTTGTTGTTTATCAGGCAATCTAATAACGTAAATCACGTTTCTGTAGCAATACAATGAGAAATATCCTTGTTAGAGAGATAAGATGTATAATACAATGAAGATGAGAGCTGGCATCAAATTTGATCAAATAAAATGTTGTCGGGTTCACAGACCTTTGCGACTACATAAAATACTTACAGCACTAAAAGCCCAGCAAGAACCACATGGATTTTGATCTTTAACTTCCAAAACTGCTCCCTTCTCGGTCCAATCTATGGAATCTGGAACTTCCAGATCTTCTGGAAATACTGTAGGTGTTGCATGTAAACGAGGTTTGTTCTTGATTTGTCTCCTTAGGAAATCTTTGAACTCTCCATGGGTCAAATCCGCAAAACGAGTGACTCCCAAGAAGTAAGTCTCTTCTCCTTTGTCATACCTGGCATTATGTTCTTTGATTTTCATCAGGTTACTTTGGAATATTCCGAATCTTGTTCTTTCTTCCAACAAGCTTTTGTAAGTTTTTCCATGAGTTTGCTGCGAAAAAATGTTTATAAAATTATAGAAATAAATGCAAAATCTTTTTTAAAAACATATGATTGCACATTGGAAGCTGTATCTGTCAAAATGTTTCATTGAAATCATTGCTGAAACTAATTTTCAATAAATTATTCAGTAATACCACGAACCAATATGGGAAATATTGCCACAAATCTTGGATCAACATTTTAAAATATTACTGGATTTTTCCCAACACCAAACACCTCGACATGTGTTTCGATCACCAAATGATCATCTTCGAAAGGAAGATCAAACTAGTTTGATCAAACTAGTTTGATCTTCCTCTTAAAGGGGTATATATAATAATAGTAATAATGATAATAATAATTGGGCTTTATTCATTGACATACATTGTTTATAAAGAAAAAGTAGATACGAAAATCAATGAAAGGGTGGAGTTTAGCTGAGGCTATTTCTAAATATTATCTGTCCAGAAGACTTCAGATATGTTTTCAACGTTTTCTTGAAATGATATATGGAGTAGTGTCTAAATTCACTGGACAGGGCGTTGAATTGTTTGATAGAGTTGTAAATAAAACTACGAGAAAAGCAGACTGTCGAGTGTTTTGGAATAATAAAAGTGTTACGGTTTCGTGTCCTCGAATTATCCTGAGATTTGAAAGTTTTATATCTTTCACAAATATAATTTGGCTTTTTGTAAATGAGGAGTTTATGTGTATTGACGAGTAGGTGGAACTGCCAGGTTTTAGCAATCGGTAACCAACCTGACTCCTCGAACTTGGGGGATATATGGTCGAATTTTCTCACACCATAAGAAAGACAAATGCAATTGTTTTGTATTTTTTTGTAAGCGATTTACATCAATTTGTATCAAAGCAGGCCCGTAGATTATATCGCAATATGCTAATCTGGACAATGTGAGGGTTTCGCAAAGTTTTAACTTCTTCCTTACGAATCAGTAGAGAGTTGTCCTTGGAATCAATGAAGTCGCCCCGGAGCGCCAATTAATTTTTATTGTTGTATTTATTTTATTTTTATCGTTGTTTTAACATATTGTGATAATTTTATAAATTTTTAATTTAGAAGTCATACTATCTCTACTTTGGTAGAGTTGACATAAGATACTGTACGAGCTACAAAGTGAATTTATATGTTTGTGAAATCTCAGATCAGTATCTAGCCACAAACCCAAGTTCTTGCTTTCTGTAATTATTTGTAGTAAGTCCAAGTGTGATTTCAATTCTTCCTTCAATGTCCCACCTTTTGTGTTTCGGGCCAAAAAGTATCAGCTGAGATTTTTTAGAATTCAATTTCAGGTTATGGGCCATAGATAGATCTAGTAACTTTTCTAAATCATTGTTAATTTTTTCCATTGCCACCTGCCAGTTATTCGGAGGAAATCGATAATATAACTGAGTATCATCTGCATAATTATGAACTGTGCAATGATCAATCATTTTATAGAAATCAGATATATATAGGGGGAACAGAATGGAAATGATTTTCTTGAAATTTCTATGTTTATTGATCGCCAGATTGATTGTTTCTATACTACAGATTGAATGTTATTCAACAATGAAAAATGAATATATTTTTAGATAATTCAAAGACTGTTATGAGATGAATATATAATGAATCTATCATTATTATAACATTAAAAGGCATGGTATTATAAACAATCACTGTGTTCAAACATTTCAATTTCATTTACATAATTTTAAGGATTCTATAATTTTTTGATTCAATATTTTGTTCATTTCCCTTCATTTGAAACTGAAACTTTCACGTTATTGGTACTTCTTTACGATGGTTAAATTTGCAACTGAACCCCCAATAAAAGGCCTATACTTCTTTTCGGAAAGAAAGTTTTTGGCTTTCTACTACTCCATCTGATACAAAAAAAAGGGATGAGAGAATCTTCCAAAGAAAGGAAGGAAATAATCAATCTGAAATGATATTTGATTCTTATTCCACAACAAATGTTTGAAATACAAACTGAGTAGAGAAAAGTATCTTCTGTATAATTCAGTGTTCATATAGAAGTATTTGTTTCGAAAGAATTATTTTCTTTCGTGTAATTCAATGTTTATATGAAAGTAGCTGTTTCAGGAGGACTTTCTTTCAGTTTGTATCTGAAAGTTACTTCTTTGCATGATCTACACATTCATGTATAGAGTTTCAAATTGATTATTTCCTTCCTTTCTTCGGAAGATTCTCTCATCCCTTTTTTTGTATCAGATGGAGTAGTAGAAAGCCAAAAACTTTCTTTCCCTAAAAATATAACCTCTTCAATGCTTATACTTCTATTGTTAACTTTCTCTAGACCATCTATTTTTTATTTCTGCTGCTGAGCATAAAGAATAATATCTTCGAGATGAAATTACAAGTAGTGAATAGTGAAATTGTACGTGAAGTACGCGAGTAAATGAAACAAAATGTTCATCGTTCACACTATTTTCCTAAATAAACTAGAGTGTTGGAAAATATATTACCTTGAACGCAATCCATTGATCTTCATTGGTAGAAGCAGTGACTGCTATCAAAACAGTTGCGAAAATAGCCAGAAATTTCATTTTGATTTTTCTGAAAAAAGATATTACTTAGAAATCATCAAGAGAAAAGTTTGAATCGTACTATATCTCTTGAAAAGTCATTACGATAACATTTTTTTGTAATATTTTGTGAATTTTGATAACTTTAGCAAACCTATTAAACTAAACATTTAATTTATGAAGAATTTCATCTTCATCCCACTCATACACATTTCAGCATATTTTCACTGACATTCCACTGATTTTTCATGGTATTCAGATATAGCTCATATATGAGCTCATACGTGAAACTTTTCATGTTTCGAATAGTGGAAAATAAAATGTTAAAAGAGTAAATCAACAAATATTCGATAATGGCTATCTTGGACAAATCGAACGCTGAATTGGAATTTCTTTCACGAATCTAATCTTCCAGCAGAGTTTCAAAATCAGAGCTACAACATTATGGGTTCTCAGCTGACAAAGAAACTGCGGTTGGAGGATTATGAAAATGGTTGAAAACAAACAACAGATTCTATTTGGTCACCAATCATATCAAAATCTATTGTGAAGTAACGATGATCAACTTACCTCAATGGAACAACAAAAAGAAATTATTTCTAAAACTGAATGTACTCTGAATTTATACTGATGGTCTCTTTGTTATAAGCGACACTCCACAATAATCTCAAATGCGTAGAGAAAAGATATCATATTGATCGTATCACATAGACGATTGATTAGTTCTAAGAATTTTTCAAAATTAACAACATCAATATGCGAAACATAAAAACTCAAAGTCGGCTCCACAATTCATTCAACCTCTGATGTTAGAACGGTAAAACCATCAATCAGTACATGCTTCGAACCTACATAGGTTCATCATCAGCTAATTATTTAGAAATTCTGCAATGAAAGACAAACAACAATTGTTAATACAATAAAGTATAAAATAACATTTAAGGAGGAAACTGATTTTTTTTAAAAGAGGAAAAGAAAATTTTCACATGTTGTCAATGAATGAATGGTAACAATGACATGTTATTAGTAATGAAAAAAAATATTTTTTTATATTCAGTAAACGACAGAAGTATATAACATCCTGCCTGATTAACATCAAAATAAAAAACCCTACATGAAAACGAATTCTAACGAAGAGATCCGAACTGAATTGAATGAGCCTTCAATTGGTGTTTCAGTAAATTACCCGAATTCTCAAATCTATTCGTTTCTAGACATTCAAACTCTTCTCTTCTAAATGTAACACATCGTATTCATAATTGAATTCATGTCGTTCTGCTAAAAGGTGGTTTGCAAATGTGAAATTGATCTTTCTATTCATAAAACCACTTCTATGCTCTTTAATTCTTTGGGAAAAAGTTCTCCCTGTTTGGACAATGTACAGTTTTGGGCAAGAGTCAAAAGTCAGCCTATACAGGGTGTTCCAAATTGAGTCGACACCATTGCCAACTCCTTTGTTATTGATGCTACGAATTTGGTTAAATGGGCAAGCTAGAAGTATTTTAATGGCCTTCTCGAGTCCGAAAACAAAAAATGGACAGGCGCGTTTTCCGAAAAATGATATTTTATTAAATGGGACACCCTATATATGTCTGCTATAATGATAACATCGAAGCCGTTTTTGTGAAGAACAGAAAATACTGTAGCGTCATATTAATGCGGATGGAAAAAAATGTGTTTTTCTAGGGATGCTATACAATGTGTCATCGCTTTCATACGTTCAAAACGAAAGATTTCTCACGCAGTGAGAAATATCCACCATTACATTACTCACTGTTATCACGATAACCCTAGTCAGTCATGAGTTGTTACATGTCAGATTGATATGACACGTTCTCCATGTTGACAACGCTATGCCGACGATTCGCGTTCAATATCCAAGTAGCCCATTGTCGGCGTTTCCATAACAACAAAACCGAAGCACTGCATAGAATACAAATTTATGCCGTAAGCCAAAAAAGATTGGATAGAACATGTCAAAAAATAGTTCAATACAATCAACACAAATAATAATAAGGGTAATAACTTAAGATATAAAAATAGTGCAACTACTACTGAATGGAATTAAATATTGGAAACAGGTTGCTGGTAGTTTAAAAATTCATCAATAATGTAGAAACAGTTTTCTAAGAATTGTCCAAAATGACAATGTTTAGATAATTTTTTCAATTTGATTATGAACGCATTCATATCTTCAGAAGAGTCTTGAGTACATATATAGAACTGGTACCGTTCAGCGATAATCAGCTTTTTTGGGCAATAATGTGCTAAGAGGACATTTTTGAGCTGCACATATGTCCTTGAACTGGGTAACTCTGGTGAAATTAGATCTTTGATAACACTGTAAGCTTCTGCACCAACCAAAGTAAGAAATAGAGGTACTTTCTTTTTTTCTTCCATATTATTACACAAAAGTAACTGCTCCATTCTCTCGATATAGCTATATATTTCCGAATCTCCAGGTTTGAAAGGTTCAATTGATCCCACCAAAGACATTTTTATAGTTCGACTTGACTCAGCTTCAGACTATTGACCAGTTTATCCTCGTCGCCAATTATGTTATGTATTTTCGGATACAGACCAAATACTTTCAGATCAAACTTTATTACAAAGAATTATCTTACATTACAACTTCATTCCTATTTGACAGTAAACCGACAATTCTCCAAAACCTAATGTTTTCTAAATACTGAAGGTTTGGTACTTTTCAGCTTACCTTACATGATTATAATATATAACATCAACAACATTTATTTACATGCTGTTCTGTATTATTCTATTATTGTTTGTCCGTCTAATTAGAGTTTTGCAAGCAGTTACTTGGCTAGTATCATTTTATCATTACTGTGAACGTCCCAGAAAATAAATACAATGACTGAAGCCGGATTTGTGATGGCACAATCTGACAATTTACCGAGGATAGATGTCTTCATAAGACAAATCGCAAATCATCCCGATTTCACTTCAGCTGAGATTAGAGGCGTCAAAGCTACAAGGTGCTTGAATAATTATTGTGTATAAGTGTCTTTAATTTCAGCTTTTCGTTCAGTTTTCTAGTTATTTGCTCATTAACATTGAGAAAATGTACATAACATCAAATAATGTAGTGAAAAATTTGTTTAAGAAAATGTTTACAATCACTTCTCGTTCTAACCTGATAATATTTGTGTTTATAGGTCCGAAAGATATTCTTATGGCGATTCAGCTATTGGATATGTTCAAGTAAATAGGGAAGCAAAAATATGTGTAGTGAAAGCTCGTATTACTCCCGAACATAATGTGAAACAGAAATGTTACTCTGTAACAGCAGTATGTGATGAAGCTGAACAGAGAATTGTCTCTGCAGCACATTTAGGTACATATAATTGATTGGTAAAGTATTATTTAGAGGGTACGAATGAGTATTAACACAAGTTGCAACTTACACATTTTGTTTCATAAAAATAAGAGTCTGATTTCAAAATGTGATCATGTTTTATCCAGAAAATATAATTATTACATATATTTTTAATTTTCAGGTGGATGTAAGCATGCAATAGCTTTTATAGCTTGGCTGCATAGGCGTAGCGACGCCCCTCCCTCTACTAGTATCGACTGTTACTGAAAGAAGTCCAAACTATCCACGATAGGCACAACCCTGAAGTATATAGGAGTTAAATAGTTAGGTAGTGGTTCAAAGGCCAAACCTGCTTCATCTGCCAATACTCGAAGCCTTCTGCCAACTCTAATAAACCATAGCAGAAGCATCGGTCACATGGAAAGTCAACTCATGAAATACTACAAGGAAAAAAGCAGAGTAGAAAAATTATGAATTCATCATTTAGTAAATACACTACCAAATAAACCGGCTAACGCCAAAGAGTTCATCAATTATTGCAGGAGTATGATGAACACATCATCTTGCAATGAAGCTAATCTAGCTACAATTGATCAAAATGACTGTCCGCTGTGGCATGAGGCACTTTATGTGAAAGTATAATGGGAGCAATTGAATTGAAGGACACAGAGGCGATGAAAAGAGGGCGTTTGCTAGAGAAAAAAGTTTTGAAAGAAGTCGAAAAGAAAATGAAACTAAAAATTAATGGGTGTGGTTCGATCTTAAACCCTGATTATCCCGTATTTGGTGCATCTCCTGATGGTGAGAGTATTGATTACAGTATTGAAATCAAATGTCCATCATCTGAGAAAGCCATGAGTAGATATGTTCCAAAATATGTTATACCCTCAGAATATATGGCCGCTTTCTGCTTCGATAAGTTTGTTGGAGGTTAAAATAGACACCAATATGTCTTGACACAATCATGTCGCTGGATTTGCAAAGGCTGCTTCTCAAAAGCTTGAAATACTGTTCAGAACCAGAAAACTGTACACACCTCGGCAACTTTTGATGCTCTATAAAGCTCAGATCTTCTTTAGAGTGTCGTTCTCATGTATGCAGCTCTGCCCCCAAACATAACCTGAAGTTGCTGATTTTAATTTATTTTATATTAACGGTTGCAATGAACTTGAAAGCGGTAATATTTTGAATAGATAATGAAGAGACCTTTCAAACGATATATCACAAACCAATACTTCCCGTTCAAAAAATTTGGGGTTGTATCTGTCCTTCGAAGGGGTTGAAGGTAGGGGTGGCATTTTTACGTTGAAGACTGTCAAATTATAATTTACATTTGGCATGTTTTAGGACTTTTTCAAATATGTACAGTAACTGAAATTCATTCCCAATTGGAACGGCAATAAAAATAAGATTACAGTCATAAACATTTCTTGCCTCTGGCCCCTAGTCGCCCAGATAGTTACTAAACGTGCTATCAAATATAGTTGAGGAGTAGAGGCTCGGCTAGCTGGACTGGCTGAATACTAATTTTTTGTCCGTTTCACAATATTTCTTTATCAGTACCGTGTGTTCGTGGGGTTAGGTGAGGTAGTGAGTGGTTTTGCAAACCGATTTTTGACAACTTTTTCTAGAGATCAAGGTTAGCATCTTCAGGAGAAGCAAATTGATACTAAATCTAAAGACAAGGGTTAGATGTTTATAAACCTAAAGTTTTTTGATCCGATGTGGACTTTGTTTGTTAAATGATGATTATTGTAATTGATTTTTCGATAATTAACTAGTGGAACCACTACCTGCAAATTAATTTGTCAACAATAGATTAAAAAGCGGACAAATTAATTTGCAGGTAGTAGTTCTACTAGTTAATTACCGAAAAATCAATTAGGAAAATCATCATTTAACAAACAAAGTCCACATCGGACCAAAGAACTTCAGATATATAAACATCTAACCCTTGTCTTTGTTAGGGTAACTGATCTCTAGAAAAAGTTTCCAACTTTTACACCAAAGGTTCCAATCTCATCGTTCAAACTGATTTTTGTGAAAATCTTAGTGTTTTTGGGTACTTTCATCAATATGGCTTTCTGAAGACCTTTTGAAACAAATGATAACATTACGTGTGAGGAATCTGTGTCAATCGTCAGGAATCCGGAATTTGAAAATAAGGACTTACATGTTGAAGTTCAGCGAGTAATTTTAAATATTCATGAATGCTTGAAGAAGGGAAACTGTCACACTTCACATAATACTATTGTGAATAGAATATGCGAGTTAACGAAACTATCTCGTTCGACAGTTCTTCGAGTCATCAAAATAGGGGATGACATTGACCATGGAATGAAACAAAGGAATAAAAAATTCGCAAAGGTTGATGGTGCTACAAAAGATGTGATTCGGCGAACAATTTATGGTATATACCAAAAAAATGAAGTACCAACCTTGGAAATGATTTGGTATAATTTACTCGACTATCCCGATTACAATTACAAATCTTTAGAAACTCTACGAGGTGTCTAATTTTCTTGTGGTTTCAAATATAAAAAATTGAACAATCGGATGGTCATATTGGAATCGACACGCATTGTTCAACTTCAACAAGAATATTTGAGGCGAATGAAAAGCTACCGAGAATCCAGCAGACATATAATCTACCTCGACGAAACTTGGTTTGACACCCATGATGTTGTCAAATATGGCTGGGTAGACGAAACCAAGTATTGTGCTTTGAACACACCTTCTTCAAGGGGAAAACGTGTTATAATTTTGCATGCCGGGAATGAAAGTGGTTTCGTACCTAACACTTTGCTTCTGTCGGCCAAAAATATATAAGATTTGTCTGCTGATTACCACCAAGATATGACTGCGGCTTTATTCGAAACCTGGTTCAGTGAGCAGCTTCTCCCAAATATTCCTCCAAACTCGGTTATTGTTATGGATAACGCTTCGTATCATTCTCGGTTATTGACTACAATACCAAACAATAACACAAAAAAAGCAGATATTGTTGATTTCATGCGAAATCATGACATGGAAATACCCGAAAAGATTCCAACGAAAAAGGTATTACTGGCGACCATAAAAAAACATAATTTCAAAAAAGAGTATATTATTGATTCGATGTGTGAAACACGTGGTCATATTCTCTTACGTTTGCCTCCATACTATTGTGTGTTCAATCCAATTGAAATGGTTTGGGTCACAATGAAAAAAAGCTTGCGGAAATGTAATCAGTCACCGACTTTGAATGCTGTAGTGCTTGATTATATAAGGCGAGTGGTGAATGAAGTAGGTAATAGTGATGTGTGGAAGAACTGTGTGGAAAGAAGAGAACAAATATTATGTGCAAAGTTCCATAAATCCGATCGTTATTCAACCCGATGATGATTCCACCTCATCCGAATATAGCGAAGAAGAATTTTGATTTTTCTAGCAACTTTGTTGGACTCTATCATTTTGTAAATATATTTTAGAGTTTTCAACTCGGAAATCAACCACTTTAAATTTCGAAGTTTTTCATAATCACCCATGGTGGAAAAATTCGGTTGTGTTAGAAATGCCTCACTGGCTAACAACGATATTGAAACACTTATAACACCACCAACTTTATAACATTTATTAGTCTATTCAACAACAATGTCAGTTTCAGACTGCCCCAGTTAAACATATTTCAACACACAAAGGAATGTATCATCCTCTTATGTAAACTTATCAGGTGATATTCAGGGCTGTCCCATCCAGTACTCCCAACAAGATAATGTCCAGGGCTGCACAGAGCTCTGATCCTAACGCACTCCCTAACATAATGAATCACCTTCTGAAGTTTTGTACCGTAGGTAGAGAACACCCTGTATATGATAGTCGAAAAACTATATTCGATGAAACAGATTGCAGTAAATAGCAACTTCAAACGGGCTATGATTCAGCACATCCTTAACTGTCTAAATAGGTCCTTAACTAAGTAAGAGTATACTCTAACTAACTATATACTAACTAATCAAACTTGAAGACTACAGCAAACGTTGCCTTTGATTGGAATGCATTGAGTGAACTATTTTTATCGAAATGTATTTGTTAATATACCACGAGTAGAGATACATAGACAAATATAAATTTAAATACTTTCCTCTTCGAATGTAGATATATATTGTGTATTAATTTGTTTTTAGTGTGGAACCATTATGATTAAAATCACCTCAATTTTATAATTCAACTTTATTATACAAGCGTTTACTTCTGTCATGGATCCCTATAACCATTGATTGTTTTCATTTATTTATATTTATATCTATATCCAATACATTGATTGGTTTCATCCATTCATATTCTGTTCAAATGTAGCTATTTTAAATGTATACCTTAGTACTTAATTCAAAGCATGAATCTCATTCAATTCTCATTCCTTACACAGAGACAGATCATTTCGCCCCGTAAGATGTATTTTATTTGTTCATTGTTCATTTCTATATGTACATGTAGTTTTACTGTAAACAATCTCGAAAAAGTGAATAAATACTATTATTATTATTATTACATAACCTACACTTGTTATGAATGATAAATTTCGATACGCACATTTATCTTGAATGACCTGATTGTAGAAATCCAAACCTATTGTATTTTTCCGAAGAATGATGAAATTACTCGTCGAAGAGATCACTTATTAATAATTTGATTCGATTAGGAAATTTCGAAACAATTCCAAACATAATAATAATAAAAAATAAGTTTCCAAATATTCAATACTACAGAATAATATAATATAGAA